CAGGGCAACCTGAAGCTGCAGGCAAGGAAGGGGAAAGGCAGCATGGGGCAAGCTATCTGCTCCTCTCACTGCCTGTCCCATGACCTCTACACTGCTTCCCATATGTGCCCCCCCACTATCTGCGCTACCACATGCCCCCCCACCTGTCCCCTCATCACCTCTCCCCCAACCACATACAGTAGTAGGGGGAGACTAATTTAAGACAATCCTCCAATAATTGGATTCTATACATGGAAAATTGTAATACATTTATAAAATTTTCTGTAGTTAGTTACCATAAACAACTCACTAAATGTGCCATTTGGGGCCCTAACAGATGTTCACTTAAATGTACCATATGATAGGATCCCCAATCCCAACAGGCGTGCCACACGTACATGGCAGGAGGCATGATTTTGAGATCAGATCTCAATGATGCCGTACTTGCCAGTTCATAAACCCATGCTCTCCCTAAACCAGTAAACTGAAAGCAAGGTGGCCACAGGTCCAGGACCGGGGTCAATAATCAGCTGTCAGCCCAGCAGGGACAGCATGGGAGCTGGTTCCAGACCCCCAGTGCAGTCCCCAGCATGGGCCAACAATCAGCCGATTGTCAGCCCAGTCAAAGTTTTTCTATATGTGCAACAATATTATAGCTAGTTTGCCATTTTAAGGCATCTTAAATTGGTACATATAAGCACACTTGTTATTTATGCCACAATTAACATGGGTCTTGGTGTTATGCATAGCCAAGAACACATGCCATTAGAAAGAACTGTAATGAAGAATAAGCAAGCACAGCAGCTTCTACCACAGGCTCATTTAACCAGAAACAGAAACAAGAGACCCACAGAATAAGGAATCTCTGTGCATGAAAGGAGCCATAAAGTTGTTTAGAGCAAGGAGAGAGGAAAGTGAGCTTGGCAACAAATGTTGAGAAAAATTAAAAACAGACAAAGAGGAAATGAAATAAAAATAAAAGATCAATTTGATTTTTTTTTAAACAGTGAATTCTGCATTGTACATATTCAGAGTCCAAAAGGTAGAATCACAGATGGGAATGTAATTGTACAAAGCTCTCTTCTAGTGGCCATTAAATGGGCTTTAAAACCATCACTGAAGTAGTGCTAAAAAGTTTAATGCTTCATTACAAGCAAATACAAAATGATACATTTAGGCATATCTAGGTATTTACATATATGCCCAACTGTGCAGTAACCTCTGGCATTTACACTTTCCTGCAAAATCTACCAAGTTCTGCTATTGTTGCAAACATTTTCTTAGAAATATGCTGTAATACCATACAAGTCAGGGTATTTTAATTAAAGGAATTAAACTAATTCTTACCTTTGTGTCTCCAAAGAAGTCTTTGTATTCCTTCAGTAACTTCTGATTTTTAAACAAATCTATGATACAACAGCTGTAGTTAAATATAGCACTTACATTTGAAAACCTGAAAAATCATTTCCATGGTTACTTCTCATAGACAACTCAGATAAATTTGTTATGATATATCAACATATTTATATTAAACAGTGAAGTCTTGTCAAGCTAACACATTAAAAAAAAATCTCTCTTTTCTTAATGGAATCCAGGAACAAGGTAAAAATGGCACTGACATTGAAAATGTACTTACCTACTTAATCAAACACTGGCAAATGTCTTATTTTACTCATAGCATAAATTACAAAGCTTGACAAATAATTTTAAGTCTCAGGAATGAGATTCTGTGCTTACGAGGTACAGTACTAAATTCACAGTCCAACAGAAAGAGGGGCTTTCAACCACCTTTATATACAACAGATTCTGGGCTTTTTCATAGTACTTATTATAATAGACAATATACCTGCCTGTCCCAGCACTGACCAGAGACCTCTAGAGATCTGTGCATTATGCCTATGCCTCAGTAGAACCCTCTTGCATTCCTGACATAACCCATATACCAGGGCTTGAGATTGGAAATTTATTATAATTTCCTAGGTTCCTAAGTTACCATTCCAAGAGAATTTTTTAATCAGCGAATCTAGAGTTCTTAAAGCTGTTTTGCTATGCTCACTTCTTTTCACCTGGCACAGGGGAGAGGAGCTTGCATCAGATTCTCTCTTTCTTCAGCGCTCAACAACAAAAACCCTTTTCTCTCTTCCATTCTTATGTGAATGTGTAACAAATGAAAAACTCATCCTGCTCTCTATGACATCCAAACTCCCAAAGTCCTATAGAGTGTTGTACAAATGTAGACTGTTCAAGATGGCCCCTGCCCCCAAAACCTTGAAACTGAGGATCAAAGAGAGAGAATGCAAGCAAACATGACAAGTTCAGGCTACAAGAAAAGCAGTCACCATTTCAAATACGAAGTGTTTCAACCCAGTCAATTTGTATCAACCCAGCAACATCCTACCACCATTTTTTTTTAAAGGGAATCTGCTTTGCTTCAGAATAAAATCTAGAAACCTTTTGCCAACAGTTAAGCTTTTCAGGCTACAAGTCTGAAATCACCTGCCCAAATCTTTACACATTTGCAATCCTTAGAGCCTGTACATAATGTATAGGAATAAGTTACTTTGCTGTGTGTAATTCCAAAGAGACAAACTATACAAGTATAGAAATATCTAAAAGATCAGGCCCTTTTATGCTTTCAGCTTAAATCAGTACTAAAATTACTTCCAAGAACTACAATAGGCCTCTAATTTTAAGTTGCGCAACAGAAAAAGTTACATTAGCTGGCCGGTCCTTCCAAAGAGACAGAAGGAAAAATGGAAGCCCGTACAAGCCTTCCCTTACAGCATAAATATAGAACTAAAATTTTGTTTTAAAGCAAACAATGGATGAACAAATAAGTTAAAAACTTTTAAACTAAAATTGCCAAAGCTATACTTATTTCAGTGTTACACATATTTGCATAGCTTTTTTCCTGGTAAATAATGCATATGAGTAAAGTAAGGTAATAGGCAAAACAGGTAAAATGTAAACAATAAATAAGACTCAAAGGAAGTGTCATTCCTGATTGGACTATTGGACTGAAGTTTACTCCATTTTTTTAATTGTCCTTTAACAGCTAACAAATGAATGAAAAATTATAGCTATTGCTTTTCAGTCACATCTCATACCCCATTCAGCCCTCACACTTGACCGCGTGTCCGCAAATAAAAACAAGAAAAATTCCAAAAGTAACAAATCAGTAGGGCTGGCAAAATTTCACCATCAGTTTTGTTCTGATGCTGTTTCAACTCGTTTCAAAGTTGAAACAGCAAAACCAAAATGAAACAGATATTGCCGAAACCTCGAAACAAAACGAGGCAAGTCAAAACATTTTGCTGTTTCAACGCGTTTCTAAGTTTCGCCCATAGGGTATAATGGGGAAGGGTGAAACAACCTATAACTTTGTCATTTCTGGCCTGACTTGAATGAACCTTGCAGAAATGGTAGCCCCTTCTAAGGGCATGATGCCTGCCAAGTTTCAAGGAAGTAGGTGCATGGAGTTTGGGGAAACTTCAATACTTTGGAGCACAAGCAAAATTCCCTTGTATGTGTTAAGCAACAGCAGGATCAAGACTGCAGGCATGCTAGCTCCTGCTGAGGCCACAAAGCCTGCCAAGTTTCAAGGAGATAGGTGCAGCGGTTTGGGGGAAACTGTACCTCAAGCTGAGGACAAGCAAAACTCGTAACATGGGTGACACTGTGTATGTTAAGGTGCCGCAGGGTGAAAGCTGCAGGTATACTAGCCCCTGCTGAGGCCATGAAGCCTGCCAGCTGTTAAGAAGATAGGTGCAGGGGGGTTCCAGGGCCCTGCACCTATAGCTGCTGACAGGCAAGACTTATGACATGGGTGCTTGTGCAACTGACTGTGTCTGTCTTGGGGCAGAGGGGGGTGAAAACTGCAGGCCTGCTAGGCCCTGCTGCAGCCACGATGTTGGCTACAAAGAACCAACTTGCAGGATCATCATAAAATTCTAGTTTATTAGAGGGATGCAAAAAAAAGTCAGATCACAAATCTTGGGGCTGATCCCCTCTC